ATTTTTATCTCTTTTGTGAATTCTCTTTTCAAATTATGAATTGTTTTTGATATTTCATTGAGCCACATATTTGTATATTCATGAGCTTCCATTATGTTTATGCCTTTCCTCTTTGAGTTCTTTGAGTTGTTTGTGTTTTCTTGTAATTCTTTGATCACGTTTATTACTGTTCTTTTTAAATTCTGTGTCCTGGGGTTCTACAGAGTGGTTCTCAATGTTCTGCAACTTCTGTGGAACTCATGGGCTTTGTTGGGGACATATTTTCCTTTCATATTGTCTGTGTTTTTGCATTGCCATCTGGCATATGGGTGTTCTTTGTTGGTTATGTGTTCAACAGGAACTTCTACTCTGCTTTTGTTTAATTTAATTTTGGTTCAGAGTCCTGGCTAAGCAGGTCTTTCTGCCTGATCCCGAGGCTGGGAGTTTGGCAGTGAGGGGGCCACCTGGGTGAGAACTTAGAAATCTATGGTAGGGTGGGCGGTTAATCTTGTTTGGGAAGGTAGTCTAGAGATTTGGAGTTAAGGAGTAAGAGCCAGCCTGTGATAGAGGCCTGCAGGGAGGGATAGTGATGAGAGGAATGGGGTAGCTGGTCCTGTGGAGAGTGGGTTGGAGCTGAGGCTGGGCCTGCCTGTGGGAGAGGCAGGCTGGGGATGGGGTGGGGATGGAGACTGCCTGTAAGAGAGGCCAGCAAGGGACAGAGTGAATGTGGATGAGAGAAATCCGGGAGGGAGGCAGTGAGCTTGATCCAATTTACCAGAATCCTGGCTGAGCAGGTCTGTCTGCTTGATCCTCGGGCTGGGAATTTGGCAGAATCCTGGCCTAGCAGGTCTGTCTGCCTGATCCTGAGGCTGGGAATTTTTCCCATGTGTACTTTGTAAAGACTGGGTAAGTTCAAACAATATATAGAGGAGGGTCTTTTTCTTTAAGACATATAAATAGACTTAAAGATTTTGAGAATAAGAATTATCCACATTCACACAGGAAATTGTTGCTGTGGTGTCCCTTAACAATGTGAGGTTCAGCTTGAGAGTGGAAGGGTGGGAATTGAGGAAGAGTGCAGGGATTCTGGAGATACCAGAAACCAGAGGGGAATGAGAAAATGGAGATGTCGGAGAGCGTGTTTAAGGATCTCTCAGTGCCTTTCAGTCTAGATGATGACTCACCCTCGTTGCTTCCTGCCAACTTTTCTTCATTATATTCATCAGGTTGTTCGTGTTCTTCATCTGCCACAACTGGGGCTGGAGAGATGACTCAGCAGTTAAGAGCACTGTCTGTTCTTGCAGAAGACCTGGGTTCAAATCCCAGCACCTACATGGCAGCTAGCAACCATCCATAACTCCAGTTCCAGGGGATCCAACACCCTCTTCTGTCCTCCATGGGCATTGCATAACATGTGTGCACTTACATACATGAGGCAATACACTCATACACATAAAATTTAAAAGTAAAAATAAAAATATTTAAAATTTATCTGCCACAACTGTTGGTGTCAATTGTCTGGCAGCTCTCCTCACACGAGAGCAAAGCTCACATTGTTTGTGGTCCAGACACTGTACTCCAGTATTCTTTCTAAGTGCCAAATTTCATTCCAAATCCTTTCCATGACTACCACATATTCACCTGCACACACCTATGCACACACACCTACACACACACTGCACATTCACTTTCACACACACACACTGCACATTCACTTGCACACACACACACACACACACACACACACACACACAATGCTCTTCTCACCCTCATTCTACCTCATCTCTAGCCCTCTGGATGGTTGTGTGCTTCCTGTTTGAACATTTACCAGATTTCCACACCCAGCTGGGCCCACCCTCCTGGTTTACCCAATTCCTGCAGCAGTGCCCCCTTGTAGTCTATCACTGGTACTCAAGCTTACAATAATTTAAGTCATTCTGTCCTTCCTCAGTATGGGAAAACTGTAGACAAATTTCTTTTCTACTTCAGATTAAAGAATCCAAGGTTGACTTTTCACCCCCTGTACTAGGGCTTGAACTCTGAGCTCTGTGCGCTCTACCACTGAGCTGTATGTATCATGGCTTTCCCAAAGTTGAAAATGTGAGTCGAAGAGCACGAACACTAGCTGGCTGTCGGGAAGAAATCATCTGAAGATGTGAAACTCCAGCAGTCCCACGTAGACTTCAACAGTTGCTCAAAGGTCCATCGGAGACAGCCGTAGTCAATGGGGAAATACACAAAAGAGAGGAAATCTACCTGTTGTGAGTGCAGAAAAAGCTTTACACAGCCCCAAGGCCTCCAAATTCACCTAAGCATATCAGTGGGGTGTTGGCACTCACTCCAAATGGACTGAGCACTTGTGACTAGCTAATGATGCCAGCCCTGCCTTGGCACCTGACAGAGGCCAGACTTTGGACATGCACCAGCAGCTGCATGCCTGCCCAGCTCTGATGGAGAAGGGAGAAGAGCATAGCCACACTGCAGTACTATTCACCCATGGACTGTAATAGAGCAGGCCACACTCAGAGAAGACAAACTTGTCCAGCACCAACCAGCACTTGGATAAGAGAACATACGAGTTCTAAAAGAGAAGCCAAATCTCCAACCAGAGTGTCAATGATGTCTGATACCAGAGGGTTCCTAAGGCCCAAAGGCCTGTCTTCAGGGAATCCAGTAACATTGTCAGAGCACAATACCTGCTAGTTGGTAGTGCTGTAAGCTTAGATTGTTCAGTGGAAGAAGAAGGAAAAGAAGAAGAAGAAAAGAAAGAATATTCCTGTAACAACTATCTTTCATCAGAATCCATTTTGCATCAGCAGTAGTCAGATGTTACAAAGCCTGCTATGTCACAAAAGTGTCCAGTGTCATGTGATAAATTTTAGACCTGGAGACTGCATAGGCACTGACTTAGCTCCAAATTTGGAAGGCAAATTCTAATCATATATACAGCACAACCACAAATTTAGTTGACCTGATGACTTTGGTAAATACATCCTGGAGAGAAAATTTGATACACAGCTGAATTTTGCATTTGAGAAGTCTTAAGGTCTACCAGACTCAAGACTTCTGACCTCTTTGAAATGCCATGTGGACAAGAAGACCCATATTCATATGGGATTTCCCTGAAAGGAAGAGAAGTGAGACCATAGTAAAGAAATTAAACAATTTATATTGAATATTTGCAGTGTCCTATCCTAAGGTCTAAGCCTGGGCCTGACTTCAGAATATGTAAGCAGAAAGGTAAACCAGAAATGTAAATTTTATAACCAATCATTGATAACCAGAAAGCTCTCAGTGTAGGGAGTCTCTAATTAGATCCATGTATTTTTTTTTTCCTTACCACGCTATCATACTCAACTGTCCTCACTGGGCTGCAGAGATGGCTTGGTGGGTAGAAGCGCATATTGAAGCCTAATGACGGGAATCACATGGTCAAAGAAGAGAACTGATTCCTGAAAGTTGTCCTCTGACCTCCAAATAAAAACTACGGCAAGTGTGACCCCAATAAATAAATGTATTAAAATTTTTTAATTAGCTGTTTGAAAAATAGAGATACAGCTATGTATTTGGATAGCTAAAAATTTCCATTAAGTTGCAATGAAGTTTAAGTATACCCTCAATAGTATATAGCAAGACATTTCAGGTACTGTTTGGTTGTAAAATAAATTCTTTGGAAGTTTATTTTCCAGTAATGGACATGCCTCAAACAAAAATGGCCATCATGTAAGGCACTATTTGAGCAGCACCATAAACGTGTCGACAGAAGTCTCTCAGGCATTTAGTACAGAGGCAGTGCAGGGTGGACAGTGATAATTCTTTGGTACAGATCTGCAGGAACCTTAGGAAAGGACTGTCCTTTCTTAAGGCTGTGGCCCTTCACACACAGAAGCAGAGACCTCCTGCAATGACACTTCTGTGGGTGGTTATCACACTTCATCACTTTCAACAGAAACCAATCACATCTGTCATTCCAGCATTTGGAGACTGAGGCAGGAGGACTGCCATGAATTCAAGGCCAGCTTGGGCTGCAGAGTGATTCCTGGCTATCCTTTTTTTTTTTCCTGAGACCCTGTGAAAAAGAGGGTGAGGAAGAGAGAAAACCAATCTACCTTAGTGACAGGAAATAAACACGTTCTGAACATCTTCTGTGGAATGGATTAACCTATTACTCATGACTTAAACTTCTACCACAGATACATGCATAATAAAACACATATTGAATGAAAAGTTGTGTCTAAAACACAGAAATGAGGTAGAATCCTTGTCTGTAGTCTAATCCACCACCACTAAATTTCAGTGCTAAGGAGTCATGGTTCACTCATTCCAAATGTCTTTTCTTGGGTGAGCAGTCAATGACGACCTCAATCCAGACTGTCCTATGTGATTTCAACACAGGCATTCTGTCAACAACTGTCATGCTTCGCTTTCTCCCCATGATGACTCTATGCCTACTCGACTTGCTTCATTACCTTCCTCTTCTGACCTCTCACGACACATCATTCTCTCCAATATTCAAAGGCACAACTTCACTTTTCTCCCTCTACAGTGGTTTCATGCCTGGCCCTGTCTCAACTATATACAGTGTGATTCAGGTTTACATCAAGGCTGATGTATTTAAAATATTTTATTTATTGTTTCTATTTTATGTGTGCAAGTGTATTGCCTGCATTTATGTGAGTGCACCCATGCCATGCAATGCTGCAGAGGTCAGAAGAGGGTGTTGGATTCCCCTGGAACTGGAGTTAAGGACTGTTCTTAGCCACCATATGGGTGCTGGGAATCAAACCTGGGTCCTCCGCAAGAGCAGCTCAGTGCTCTTAACCACTTAAGCCATCTCTCCAGCCCCACGGCTGATGTATTTAATCCTTTACATCTATGTCTTGTTTAGAACACTCTTTCCTCATGGGCAGTATATCTATTTTGGATATTTATGAATTCAGTGCCGTTCTATAAACTATGATATTGCCTGTGTTTTTAAAATGTCAATCTCGAGGGAAAACTGACAATGGGGGATGGCAGGACTTCATTCTTTTAATGTATGAAATAATGCAACACATAAGTGACTTCTCATCTCTGACATAAAATTAGACATAAAGATAACACTTGAGTTCAACACAGATTTTTTTAACATTATTTGCTGTAACAGTCTTTGTTTTTAAAAAATACCAGTTACTTAATTACATCTTCTCCATCAGATTTGCTTTGGTGGGGCATAATCTAATTACAGTTATAATTTTTCTGTGTCTTGTTACTGATCTGTCCTAATGTGACAGATTAACATCATGTCCCAAGTAAAAATGTGCAACACACTTCCAAAAATCCAAGATGTCTAACGAAGATCCTGGGTTACAGAGTCTATATAGCTGCCAAGCATTGTTCATGGCTACGTCAATCATGTAGCTCACCAAGACCATTTGGAAATAACTTGATCATCTTAGCCACACCTTTCCTGCACTCCTCAGTCTCACGATGGATGGCTGGCTCATCTGAGGGAACTCTCCATCATCAGCTGAACAACTTACCTTACTGACTGGTTCTATGCCTACAGCATTTGAGCAAAGACTAATAAGACCATCACCATGCCAACAACACAAAATTACATGTTTTTTCTTCCCCCTGAAGTCAAAGTACCCCCTCTTCATTTCTTTCATATGTTCTGCATTCATAAGTGGACATTTGTTGGTCCTGTTTTCATGAATCAATCCTGTAGCCCTCACCCCCTTCTTTAAAGCTGACATCAATTTGGAACTTGTAAAGAAGCTATCAAAACACAGGTGATAGGGATATTGACCTCTCTCTAAAAGAATGTCAACAAAGCACATTATTAGATTTCCACCTAGCCCAAGGTCCAGATCCTTATCTGCTTCCACAGCTGATTCTTGGTAGTGCTCAAAACAAGTCAGATAACCTTGAGTGGTTGTACCACACCAAATGTTGTAGCCAATTCTAAGCGGCTTTCCATTCAGGAATTGGTCACTATCAAAGCACTCACACATTGACTTATCAAAGCAGTAGTATTCTTCTAGAGGAGCATATAAGAGAAAATTTTTATTCATTTGCTTTATGAGAGGTCTCAATTTTGAAAACTTGTCTTTTTGATCTAGATGGCTATTGTCTGCAAACTGCAGGGATGAGAAAATCAACTCAAATCTGTCCCTTCTAATTGCATCTCTACCCAGGGTCTGATCAGCACCAGCAATTTCCCAATACATTCCTCTCTTGGGACACCTTACAAATCCGCTCCAAAGGACACCAAACACACACTGCATTTCTTGAATGGTGACTTTCAAGTTGACATTTTTCTGAGAAGCATAGTTATTGGTTTCTTTGACGATCAAGTTGAATGTTTCATCATCAAACTTGAGGCCAGTTTTTCAGTAGAAACAACAGTTACTGTCAGGCGTCTGGGGTGCATGATCTCTGGGGAAGAAAAGAACACATGCTACAAAAAATCCTAATCTCACTCTTTCATATTTACTAAGTAAACACAAAGCAGGGTTTCTTTTGGCAGGGGGGAGTTGCTTCTCACTCTATGTTTCTGTTGGGAAGGCTTTGGCCAGATTAATATTGCTGGCGTCTCCCCACCTCTCCTACCCGTACTAACTGTGGTCTCTGGGAGAAGCTGGCATCCTCAGCACAGCCTTCCATCCATCCCTTTCAGAGCAGGATGCAGACCTCAGGTTCTCCTTTTGGCTGTGCTGCGCTGGCTCTGCAGGAGGCACTCTTCCCCAGCCAGGCCAGTCTGAGCCTCGTGAGCTTTGCCTCTGAGCTTCTTTGTCTAGACTAGCTTCTGCCAGCAGAACCATCTGCTTTACTTCTATATCCCTGCCAATTTCTTCTTAACTTGGACAAGGAAGGCGTTCATTATTTATGAGGCCGACTCCAAAAGGACACCAAACTCTCAGAGCTTCTGTGCAAGGAAGGACTTAGCCTCCCTCACTTTACATTCATTTGGTAAATATATTTCTCTGACAAGAAACAGAAATGAAAAGTCATTGCACTTGAATTTTTATGGGATTCACAAGGAAGTATGTTAACAGTAAAATGAAAAGTATTTTCTTACACAACTAAAAATTATTTATTTTATGTGTCTGAGTGTCTTGCTTGCATTGCACGTGTGTCATGCAATGCCCACGGAAGACAGAAGAGAGCATCAGATCCCCCGGAACTGGAGTTACAGATAGTTGTTAGCCGCCATGTGGGTGCTCAGAACTGAATCCAGGTCCTCTGCAAGAGCAGTTAGTAATTTTAACTGCCGAGTCATCTCTCTAGCCCCGACACCATTCTTTTTTTAAAATGTGTTTATTTAGTGTATGTGCCAGTGCTCATGTGGAGGTCAGAGGACAACTTAGTGGATGGAGTCAATTCTCTCTCTTTGTGTGGGTCCTGAGGATTAAGCTCAGGTCATCAGGCTTGTGTGGCAACTGCTATATTTGCTGAGCCATCTTGCCATCTCACAAGTCTGTTTGTAAGCTCACTGAAAAAGCAAACCAAAAACCGCTTTAAAGTTCTACATATTTATATTTTATTTACTACTGTTCTATCAACAAACTAGCTTTAGATGACGTGGGGTGGGAGTGAAGGAGACAGTGAAAAGAGTCTATTTTGCTGGGTGTGGTGGCACATGCAGAGTCAGAGGCAGGTAGATCTCTGTGAGTTCAAGGCCAGTCTGCTCTACATAGTGAGTTAAGCCAGCTGGGCTATATAGTGAGACCCTGTCTGAGAAAAGAGCATATTGTAATATAATTTTTCTACCTATATTTACTAAAGCATTTATCACACTGGGTGTCTTCAATATCTACATGCGTGGTCTAGTCAACACATTCATCTTAAGTTTAATTTTTAAATTTTGTTATTAGTGTGGGTGTGATGTTGGGGAATAGACAAATGCATTACTGGCCACATGTGTGGTGGTCAGAGGACAACTTTCTGGAGTTGGTTCTCTCCTTCCATCATGGACCCTGGTATGGAGCTCAGGTGGTCGTGCTTGTGTGGCAAGCACTCTTCTCTGCTGAGTCACCTCACTAGCCTTTCTTTTTGAGGCACAGTCTCACTCTGCACCTCAGTTCAGCCTGGAACTTATATATAGGCTAGGCTGGGCTTAAACTAAAGGCAATCCTCCTGCCTCAGCCTCCTGAGTACTGGGATTATAGGCATGAGCCACCATCCCTGGTTCAATACATTCATCTGATAATTCCTCAGCATCCTCAATTTCAGAATACTCTGAATCCTGTCATGACACTGAAGCCTTTTCAATGCTGAAATCTAAACTCCAAGAGCTACAGTGCATTAAGGTCAATATTGTGAAGTCAGGATCTCAGAATGGGAAAGGGGGGTGGGGAGTGAAGCGAAGAATAGGGTTAGGATGGAGGACCGGAAGAGGAGTGTGGGGCTGCTAGGAGCTTTGGAATCATGGTGGGGCTGCTGCACCAAACCTGTAGCCTACCTCAAACTTTTCATCCCTAAAAAGCAAGGTGTTTTTACTTTTTTTTAAACAGAAAAATTCATTTTTAATGCAATTGACATTAAGATGTTTGCACATGCGTTTCTAATCTCTATATATCTGATTATTACTAGTCACAGTCGGTTAATTTCTGAGCTCCTTGGCAGCTGAACATGGATATAAAGTCATCAGGTAGATTTCAATGGTAATATTTTTCACATTTACTAATTATTAAGGAGCAAATTTTTATGCTTTGAAGAATTATT